GAAAGATTTTTTGTAAAATTGAATCTGAAACACATTTTTGATATTTCTAGATGATAAAATGCATAAAACAATAAAATACATCAGTTATAAAAAAATCAGATTAAGATTTTATTCTATCAAAGTCTTTTATGAATGTATAATTATTTCCAAATATTGGATAGCAAAGTTTTGTATTATCTATAAGTATTTTATAATATGAATCGACTTAAGTAACGCATATAATTCATAATGCTTTCTATATAAAAATAAATAAAAAAAATATGGAATCTCTACACAAAAATCTAAAGATAGATTAGAAATTATTGATCCCAAAAATGTAAGCCCTAATTTTTTAACAAATATTACAACATGGAATTCTCATATATTAAATACTATTATTATTTTAATCCATTATCTTAATTATAAGATTGAAACATTGAATTCTAAATTACAAAAAAGAAATTTATGCCAAAATAACGAATTATATAAACTAATAGACCTTTTTTCGCAATCTCATACATTTTTATGGTTAAAAAACAGAATATATGGTCAACAAAGAAAAACATATTATTTTAATATCCCTTACATTTTTTCTATATTAATACTAGACCTTACTGAAAGTTTCAGAAAAAGAACAGTTTTTCTATATCAAACAGTTCTTATTTTCAGTCTTCCTGTACTTCTTTATCGTATAAAATAACCAAATTCATTTTGGACAACATAAGAATTATTACCATATAGGATCGATCCACGGGTGTCGTTGACATTCACTTTAATGCGGTGGGATAAGATGGCTTAGCGTTAACATTGGTTTTGTGTTTTGCAGAGCGTTTGGGTATGGTTCTATTATGAGACGCTTCAGCACCTTGGATTCGGTTCCAGAGATGAGGGAGGTGGATGGGTTGAGAATGTGAGGTTCAGCTCACCAGGCGGGAGAGGAAGCTCCAGAACAGAGATCCGTGAGGTGGGTGAGCCGCACCAGGGAGGAGGAATGACGCGAAGTGATAATAGCGAGAGGTGCGGAGTGGAGGACTGAACCAGTTTGACCCAGCTGCGAACTCGAGAGCGAAATGAGTTTCGCATGAATGACGAAGCTGCTCGTTCTGTAACTAATTTATTCTGACTGGACGCCTCGGATTCGCCGTCACGGTCTTTTGGAGGTAATCGACCGTCCACAGCGGAAGTCACTTGCTACGGAATCTTCGCCTGGACCCAAGAATCTGGAGCGTCCAAGTTCGAGTCCTCATGGGATTCGCAGCGCAACCGTCGGATTGAATAGGTTGAAGCCAGCACTTCTTACTGCTTCCAGTTGAACAACAATGCACTTCCACTCATTCCCGCATCTTTCTCTCAAATCTACATACGACTACGACGAATGACGTGAGAGTCTGGCTTCGCATCCCAGTCTTCACAATGCCCAATTACAACGTCCGGCGAGCGTTCGCCGCGGGAGTGTTCGCATGCTTCGTCACGTTCCTGCTGACCGATCCGCTCAAGCGCAGCCCGATCGCGCACCTGCCGTTCGAGCCCGTGCAGCATGACGCGCCGCCGCGCATGTGGCCGCCCATCATCGATCTCACCGAGAAGCTCACTTACGCGCAGCGCAGGTGCGCTTCGCCTCGTTTCGCTCAATTCCTGATGATCAGAAATTTTCGGATCCAGACGCCTGAAGCGTGCCATAGCGGTATAATTCGCATTGTTAGTTTAGAATACGGCATCCACCCCAATCTTGCTCGTATTCTAGTTTCAGTTGACTCGTTGAAAAGGCAATTCGGTGAATTCACTTCATGCTGTTTTGACGCGGCAGGTACGAAGGGGAGGGTTTCGGGCCGGAGAGTCTGGCGTGGGATCTGGAGGGGCGAGGGCCGTACGCGGGGCTCAGCGACGGCGGGTGGTGCGCCGCAACGCCGACGACACTGCCTGGGAGACTTTCGCCTGGGCCTCCCCCCAGCGGTACCACCCTTTTACCTTATGGCTCAATTCGTCCTCAGTTCCCCTCTAAACGTGAATGACGTTACGACTACTACTCACGTGTTTGCATTCCGCGCGCTGATCCTCGCGATCTACCTTTTCGAGTTCCCCTGCCATTGCTCCATTCATATCCGCTGCTCCCAACTACGTGCCTTACACACCTGCATCGCTCCCTTCCTGCTCGTTTCGTCCCCCGTCAGAACCCCGGAACTATGCGATTTGAAGCCCGTGGAGCTGGAGGAGGGTAAATCACCTATCGTATATGGCGTCAACATGACCCTGGTCCCAATCTCACCACGGAGCACATATGCGGGCGGCCGCTGGGGCTGCGGTTCCACCCGGTGACGGGGGAGCTGTTTTTCGCGGATGCGTACTTTGGCGTGTTCAAGGTTGGGCGGCAGGGCGGGCTGGCGCAGCCTGTGGTGACGCGCGTGGACGGCCGCCCGCTGCTGTTCGCCAACGACCTTGATATTGCCGCCAGCGACGAGAACGGCACCCTCTATTTCACCGACACCAAGCAAACGCTTCCACCGCCGGTGAGACACGAGGGGGGTTGGGAGAGAAGAGGGGGGTGGGATGAGGGTGCTCGGCTACAGATTAAACAGTAGTGTGCCTCCAGCTCTGGTGAGAAGGGGAAGGGGGGGGGGGAGGCGCACAGCTTATGACAGGAAGGCAGCACTTTCTTCCAGCGCCTGTGATGCAAAAAAAAGCGGGGGAGAGGGAGAAGGAGGGGAGGAGAGGTGAGAGGTGGAATTGG